TGTCAGACCACAGAGATTGGTGAGGTTCTCAGGCTGGTTTGTTGGATGCTGGCCAAGTTGGCCAACAATTTGCAGATCACCCAAATGGTGTTGCAACTTGCAAGCCCAAACTGTGTTGGGTTGTTTGCTGGTCAGTCATTTGCAGATCACTCATGTAGTTTGCACGCGGCGGAGCACAAAAATTGTGGTTCATCCGAACAATGCTGGTCAGCCATTTGCAGATCCCCCATGTGGTCTACGCCTTGTGGGGTCACCTGCAATCCGAGCAGATCATGTTCCAATCACTCAATGTTTAGGGCTGCATCCTGAGTAGGGGCCGTACCTGAAGTCGGGACTGTACTCTGGGCAGCGGCTGCATCCTGAGTAGGGGACTGTACCTGGAGTCGGGAGTGTACTCTGGGCAGGGACCACATCGTGTTGTACAGGTGAGTCGTGAATATCTAATGCCGCAGGGCACCGTGGCTGCCTGCAGGCAGCTGGACTGCCTGCAGGAAGCATAGGAGCAGATGTTGCCATTTGAAACGAAGGAACCGCAACAACCTGTGGAGGAGGCACAGAGAGGATCGGGGCAGACAAAGAAACAGGTTGCTGATTCCCGGACATGTGATGATGCCGCGAATGTCGTCGGTGATACACGACAAGAGTAGTGGTGTTGCAAACAGAAGATGGACTTGTACCTAGCAACAAAGGTGGAAAAATGGGAACAATGGAAACTGGAGAGTTTGTTCGCAAGCAAGACCGTGGAGGAGATAGGGGTGGTGAGGAGGAACGCAGCCGTCTACGGCCAACCGGGCCAAGCACAGACAAAGATGAGAGGGGGTGGATTGGGCAAGATTTCGGAGCAAAGGACGTGAGCGTCGGAGAGATTGTGATGTTCTTTGCTTCGGAGCTGCAGGACAGGAAGCTGTAGCAGTAAAAACTGAAGTAGGGGGAATTACAGCTAGGGAAACTGCTGCAGCAGTGGAAACCGTACTATTATTGTTTTTTTTTTTTTAGCAGAGCCCATCATCAATTTCCCGAGGGAGTGTGTTAGGTAACAGTCTTTCATCAAGCATAGCTGAACAACTTCCTGTTTTTTTTGTTTCTCTCCTTTTCCTTGTCCTATTTATTAAAAGGGCGACGGCCTTGAGATATCATCTTCAAGCTGACCGGCCCCAGGGAATTCAGGAATATTTGCTTGTACTGATAAAGTTCCATCATCTGGATTCGAACACGGGTCTGTATTTCAACAGTTGTTAACAGTTGTTTCTGATGGAATTCTTCCGCCCATATTGACGCTTCGACCAGGGCTGGTCCCCGGATGGATCGGGGCTCCCTCCCACAACCACGGTCCTCCCGGTTGGACCGGCCAGTGGACTGGGCCGGTTCCCTTCCGGTCGCCCCCAGCGCATTTCTGCTGGGGGCCTAGCTTTCCCTGGGCGCCTTGCCCGGGGGGGGACCACGCCCGGGTACCCTGGGCATGCAGGTGCCTTTCTGCGCATTCCGAGTACTGCCTATACCCGGCCTCGTTTCTGATTTCTATTGATGTGGATTTTTGTGTGTTTTTGGGGCAGCGGTAGAGAAAGGAGCCTACAGTGAACATGTGATGCCTTTCTCCATGAATTTATCCATGGTATAGAAGAAGAAAGAAGAAGAAGAAGAAGAAGACGAAGAAGAAGAAGATTACCTTCGTGGAGATGGCGCGCGGTAGCACTCGAGGGAGTCGGCGGGAAGGCAGCAGGAGGATGACGACGGCGAGGCAGCTGGATGACGACACCCCGGCAGCAGGAGGACGGCAACGGCGCGGGACGATGATGAGCTCGGCGAAGGGCGGGATGGCGAAGGGCGGGATGGCGAAGGGCGGAGGGCGGAGTGGGCACCGGGGGGGGGGGGCAGATCGGCCCAGGATTCAAATTCGAATCCTGGAAGCTACGCGCGTCGTCGATCGCTGGCAATCGACGGTCAAAAACGATTGAAAAAATAAACTTTGAAAAGGGGCCTACCGGGCCCTGAAAAATTGAAGTTTCGGCGCAAATTTGTTTTTGGCCCTGCAGGCCAACAGGCGACGGCGCAATTTTTTTTTTTTGATGCCGTTTTCAGTACGGCGCTGAGGGGGTCCGGGTGCCTGGCCAGGCGGGTTGCACGACCGAGCGCCCCAAGCGCCATTCAGGGCGGGCCTGGGTGCCCCGGGCGCCCGGGGGAGGAAACCCAGCTGCGGGCTGAAAAATGTTTTTTGGCGGCGTGGCGGTTTTCGGGAGGCTTTTTGGAGGCAGGCCCTGCCCCACAATTCCGAAACCGAGTCCCATAAACCCATTTCCTGTGAGTGCAAAAAACGGCCGATCTTGGCTGCCGACGAGTCCAAAAAACGGCCGATCTTGGCCACCGATCATCGCAGATCAGCAGCCAAGATCGGCCGCTTTTTCTAACCCTTTTGGGGGGGAAGCGTGCAGTGGTGCAAATGCACGGCGGGGGAAAATGCATCACGCGTCCAACCCCCTTTCACCCCTTGCAGACGAGGACGCCCCTCGGTGCGATGCACTTTCCCCCGCCATCTCCACGGCTGTCAACCTGCACCAGCCAGCCTCGCCATCAAGCCCCCGGCCCACAAGCCTCGCCAGCACCCCCTGTGAAGAAGGTTTGTGCCCCCCTGTATTTCTTTTTCTTCTTCTTCTTCTTCTTCTTCTGTTCACTCCCACGACGATCCCGCCGGTCGCCCATCATACTCAACCCCCCCCCGGCTCCTCTTCTTTTCTTCTCCTTCTCCTTCTTGTTCTTCCTCTTCCTTTGTTTTCTTTCAAGTTCTTCTTTTCTCTCTTTTTCTTCCTGTGCTTTTTCCACTTTCTTCTTCTCCTTCTCCTTCTCCTTCTCCCCCTTCCGTGCTTCTTGTTCTTCTTCCACTCCTGCTCGTCTGTGCTTCATCTCCTCCTCCTCTTCTTCCTCTTCCTCTTCTCATCCTCTCTGTTAGCCATAGCCGTTCTTTTTTTTTTTTTTTTTTTTTTCTCCTTCTCCTTCTCCTCCTCCCGTGCTTCTTGTTCTTCTTTCTCTTCTGATCTTCATCTCCTCTTCTTCTTCTTCCTCCTCCGCTTCTCATCGTCTCTGGTAGCCATAGCTGTTTTTTTTTTTTTTTTTTAACTCCCTCCTCCTCCTCCTCCTCCTCCTCTTCTCCTTGTTCTTCTTCTTCTTCTTCTTCTTCTTCTCTTTCCTTTTCCTCCTCCTCCTCCTTGTCTGTTAGCCATAGCCTTGTGGGCCTGCAAACCCTGAACGCAACAGCCCCCTTCCCACTCTCGACCTGGACCCCCACCCCCACCCCCCTGGCACACCCATCAAAAAAATGAAAAACATCTCTAAGAGTCCAAGTTTTATTGCGGAATCAGACAGATCTCCACAAGCGCAGTCCGATTCCGGCACCAAAAAAAAAGAAAAAAAAAGGCGATTTTTCTGGACCATCCGGTTTGCCTGTTGACCCCCCCTGGACCGGTCCGGCCCTGGTTGGACTGGGCCAGCTCGACCAGCCAATTGCTGGCCCAGCCCTGGCTTCCACGATATTTACCCATTTTCCACAAATCATGTTCTGTACCAAGGACCGACTTTTTTATTTTTATTTTTATTGTAAAAAGCTGTCTTCTCCTCATGCAGAGAACAGATATGTATGTTTTCTATATGAAGTATTATGAACTGACTTCGCAGCAGGGGTCACTAAGCATTATGGGTTGGATTCCCTCCCATCCGAAGCCTTTATCTTGTAATATATCCCGCCTACCTATATCCGCTCTGTCCGGGGAGTAGTACCCAAGCTCCTGAGTCCTAACACCTGGCGAGAGCTGGAAAGCTTTTGAGGAGTTTAGATAAGAGATATTGAGAGTCGAAAGATAGCCGTGGAAATCTTTTGTGTTTCTTTCTGGGATTTCCCATTGACCATTAAAGATTTGGCGTAGGTTGGCTGATTTGCCAATTCAGATACCTTTCTCTCCCTGTTACTTCGTATACCTTAACGCTTGCCAGGGATAAGTAACACGACTGGCCTCGGCCCAGAATAAAAAGGGGTTGTTCTCTCTCTCTCTCTCTCGATTTATTATTATTATTATTATTATTATTATTATTAAATTTATTATGATTTTTAAGCACGTGTGCCTCCGCCAGTGTTGAGAAATTAGGGAAAACGGGCAGTTCCAGAAGAGTTCGGAGGCTGTGCTAACTCAGTTTTGCGATCCAAAATAAGTGCATAGTCAGCAATCATAGAGTGCTGAAGGATGAATATGACCACAATCGCATCCACATTTGGTGCCGAAGATGCCCTATGTGAGGATGTGCTAACTCAGTTTTGCGATCCAAAATAAGTGCATACTCATCAATCATAGGGATGATAGGTTGCTGAAGGATGAGTATGACAACAATCGCATTCACATTCGGTGCCGACGACGCCCTATGTGAGGATGTGCTAACTCAGTTTTGCGATCCAAAATAAGTGCATAGTCATCAATCATAGGGTGCTGAAGGATGAATACGACAACAATCGCATCCACATACGGATGCCAAAGACACCCTCTGTGAAGAAGACGTCCTAACCCAGTCAGGCACCCAAAAAAAATGGAAAGGGGTTATAGTACTTTTCGTTCCTATAGTTCTGAGCCCCCCTTGACTCGAAAAGTGCTAACGAATGGCAATGGGGACAGCCTATCACCCTAACATGTCACATGGTCTGTACACCATTTCAGAGCCCAGTCCTCTCCATTCTCCCCACACCCTCACCCCACTCCCTGCCTTGCACCCGCACCCGCACCCGCCTCGCCCCCCCTGCCTCTCTCAGCCCTACACCTCGTCACATCGTCTCCAACCCCCCCCTTTCACAGACCCTCCCGAGCCCCATTCCAACGGGAAGGAGGTAGGTGTTCCATCATGAGTCGACCCCCCACCGCGCCAGGGTTGCTCGGCGAACATGTTCTTACACAAACAAGACCACATTCGGTTCCCTGATCACAACTGACTGGTCATTGGCATACTCAAATCTCCGGTCAGAAAAAAGATCCGTATGTCTGAATTCAACCATTGCTGAAGAAATGTCAAATGATTCGAAATGAAAGGATTCCACTTCTGAGAGTTTCCTTACAAGGAAAATCGGTTGGAGGAGACGACACAACAAAGACCGAGAAAAAGAGAAAAATGGAAAATGAGAAGGTCGACGTAGGCAATAGGAAGGGGAGAAGAGAGCAACAGAAAGAGTACCACAGCAGGGCAGCGATGATCCCCTTCAAGGATATGAAATGGATGCCAGTCAAGGAGGGCATGCAAGGCTTCACACATGCTGTCTTCCAAAAGGATAATCACCTCAAACCAGCTAGTGGAGAAGTTTTTATGCCTTCTAGCCAAGTTACTGATTGCATTGCATCTTTGCCGAGCAATTACCTGTGTATTAGACCATTATGCCAAAACAGGATGCCATCTGAAACTCACTCACTTTCTCTGTCTATCTGGATCCCACTTGCCCCCACTTGCCCCCACCTGCTGGGCGCACCCACCCGACCCCCCACCTCCCACCCCAGCCCCCACCCCATACATTTCCTCCTACTTCTAATTGTTACACAGATAACTACATAGAATACATTACCCATTCCAAGACTGCTCTTTCAGCCAAGGAGTGGTTTGAGACTAACTGGCTTCCGTTTTGTCTGCACACAGACTCTGACTCTCTCTCTCTCTCTCTCTCTCTCACACTCTCTCTCTCTCTCTGTGTCTGTCTGTGTGCGTGTGTGTGTACATGCTAGCAAGAGGGAAATAGATGCACAGAGGATGTGTGCGGTGGGAACTGTGACACCCGCTCGCATACATAGATGACCTGTTTCAGGCCATGCGATGGTGAAGTTGGGGATGGACCAGCAGCAACCATGCCAATGGAGAAGGAAGCAGAGGAAACCACAGTAGCAATAGTTGCATAGTACTCTTAGATACTTTCGTGACGTGCTTTCTCTACCCTTTTCTTGCCCCTTTCGCTGAGTGTGTCGACTACGCTTTTTTTGTACCGATCCGGGCACTTCTCCTTCGCCCTTCGTCACTAACACCATCAGCATCACCGCCTATCTTGTTTATTTCCTTGGTTAAGGGACGACGCCCAGTGCCCTTCTCTTTTACATCCTGCCTTTGTTTCTGTGAAGTGTGTGTCCCCTTTCGCTGAAATCTAGCTCGTGTCCTACTATGCTTTCCGATACTGTTTTCTACTCCATTCTTTATTTCTGGAATGGGAACTTTACCTTCTCGGGCATGCGTTTGCTTCTGCACGCCGTTACTCCCTGCCTTGACCTCCCTGGATCCCGGCGTGCTCTCCTCCTGCGAAGCTGATGATTGTTTTTTGACTCCCCGAGGGGGGTTTCGTCCTCGGAGCTGCTGCGGTGTTGCTCCTCCCCTTGCACTTTTGTTGGCATTTACATCTTCTTTTGCTGCCTCAATGATGATATGGACCATATGGTCTTGCTCTGCCGAGTTGCTTCTCTTGTTCGGAACTCCCTTGGCAGGAGTGTTTCCCTTGCTATTCTTATCTAACACAGCAGGGGCCGTTCTTTCACCACCCTCCTCCTCCTTTCCGCTGTCTTGTGCGCGCGTTTTCTTCCCCCTTGTAATCTTCCCATCTCCTTCCTCACTCCCTCCACCACCATCTTTGCTCTTTGCTGTTCCTTTCTGCGTGGTGTCATTCTTGCCAATCGTCTTTTGCTCGACCGGTGGTGCAGATTGATTCTCCTGTTTCGAGTGTTTGCGTAACGCTATGTTTACCTTTCCTTGCCTTGTTCTCGATGCAGTTGCGTCCGTTTCTCCATTCCCATCATCCATTTTCCCGACTGCCACCGGGGCTGTTCTCCTGCTGCCTCGAGTTTCGACACCAGGGCTTCCGTCCTCCTTGATAGCACTGCGCAACGCAATGTTCATTTTCCATGGCGTTCCTCTCGATGGATTTGTTCTAGTATCTGTTTGCGGATTGCCGTTGTGCATTTTCCCGCTCGCTGCCACTTCTGTTTCCCGTGCTCTCTTGCCTCTTGTTTCCACACCCGGGCTTCCATCCTCCTTGGCGGCCCTGCGCGAGCCCATGTCCGCCTTTCCTGGTGTTGCTACCCGTGGAGTCGTTGCAGGATCTGCCTCTGCATTCCCTTCATCCATTTTTCCACTTACTGCTGCTGTTTCCCTTGGTCTCTTACCTCTTGTACCCACACCAGGGTTTACATCCTCCTTTGTCGCACTGCGCAACGCCATGTTCGTCTTTCCTGCGCTTCCTCTTGACGGAGTGGTTCTGGTCTCTGTTTCTGAATTTCTATCGTCCATTTTCCTGCTTGCTGCCACTCCTGTTTCCCCTGCCCTCTTTGCTCTTGTTCCTACACCAGGGTTTCCATCCTCCTTGGAGTCAAGAAAGTCCTTGGTGGCACTTCGCAATGCCATGTTCGTTTTTGCTGGAGTTGTTCTAGCATCTGTT